GGGGGGGTCCCGCGGTGTGATACCCTCTTACCGTTTGGTCCCCGTAGGACCACTTTTTGTTCTCGCATAGGATTCGTGCTTGGAATTTCCCTAGCCAGTCCATGCCCAAGATCACTTGTACCCCATCCAGTTTGAATTGTATTAAGTTGCTGGGAAATTCCACCCCTTGGATGGTAATCATTACGTTCTCGTACATGCGGTCGCATTTTATGATTTCGCCGGAGGCCACCTTGACCTGAAGTCGGACCTTGGTGCTGGTGTTGAGGCCGAGCTGAGTGGCAAACTCGGTTGCTATAAACGAGTTGGTAGCCCCCGAGTCAAATAATATAGTGGCGGGGGTGGCGTGTACCAGGAAGGTTCCGGAGACTATGTTGCTGTCTCCGATCCTGGCTTTGCTTAGAGTAAGGATCCTTTCCTGAATGGTTGGCGTTGAGACCTTGTGAGGTGAGATGGCCCTGGGGTTCTTAGGCCCATGGGTGGGGTTTGTGTGATCCCCTTCAGGTTTCCTTTTGTACCCCAGGCGTGTCTCCCGGGGTTGGTTTGATACTTGTTGTAGTTGGGATGCCTTGGCATAGGCTTCCCTGAGGGTTCCTGGCTCTTGTGTGGCCAGGGCTTTTTGGTGTTCAGGATCAAGGCCTGTTATGAACTTCTTGATCTTGATCCTCTCGGTAGGTACTAGCTCGGGGATGAGGCGAGCCAGCCGGTGGAATCGTTGGTAGTATTCCGTGATTGGGGCTGCACCTTGTTTTAGGTGGAGGAACTCTTCATATACGGTGGCTCTTAGATGATTGGGGTAGAATTGTTCTCGTAGTCGTGTTTTTATGGTTTCCCAGTTAAATTCGTGGTTTTGTTCACATGCGGGTCCCTCGTGGGCCCACCAGGCATCGGCCTCGTGCCTGAAGTAGAAGGAGGCTATTCTGACTTGGTGGTCTTCTGGGCATTCGGTTGCCCGGAATATCTTGTTAAAAGTTCCGATCCATTCCTCGAGGACCGTGGGGTCTTCGTTCCCCGAGAAGGTGGGTGGTTGATGCGCCGAGACTTGGTGGTGGATTTCCAAGTTCTCGTTTGTTGGTAAGGGTTGGGGAATGGTAGTACTCAGTGCCTGGGCAATTTGGGCCAGGCGTTGTAGATTCTGTGTCAAGAATTCCTGAGTGGGGGGTTTCGGTGTTCCTGTCTGTCTCCTTTTCGGTGCCATCCTAGTGTTCATAGGTCGATGTTATTTTGTATTCTCACCTTGATGCAATAAGTGAAGGGGGGAGTTTCTTTAAGTCAGAGAGGGATTAAGTGAGGGGGTTATGTGTAGGTTTCACAATCTCACCGCGCGTCCTACGATTCCTAAATCTTATGTTCCTAAGTACCTAAAGTTCAAGTCTATGTCCTAAGGTCTGTCTTAATAGTCTTATCCTAGGGTCAAAATTAGGCTCTGATACCAACTGTAGCACCCCAGAATTTCAAGACTTTTAAAACTTATATAATAAAGATAGAATCTCATTGAATCCCAAAATACGATACAAAGAGTACGGGGTGCTATACCACACCCGAGCTAGAGAACTCGGGTGCACAGGCTAAATTCTAAAACCTCAATCAGTAGCAATACTAAATCATGGCACGCAGGCTAAAAGGGAAAACTATCTAAGCTACGCCGCAAGCTTCTAGCGCGCTCCAGTGATCTACTCGTCTGTGCCTGAAAGCCAAATATATCTGTTCAGCGAGAGATGCTGGTAACCCACTCCAACGCGTTGAAATACAATACATATAGACATATATATATATATAGATATACGAAAACCATTTTGAAGCATGAAGATATATCCTACGAGATTCTAGCTTTTAAAACAGGGATAGACTCGACAGATAGAGCTAAGCACAGACAACAGTTATACCAAGCATATACAGTTTACAACAGGCAAGACAGGTAGAGATAAGCACAATTAATAATCATAACCCAACATATACGATTCCCAGTAAAAATCCCATAGTCACATCCCCAATACACTCATAACAACAACTCATCCATATTTCACCACATAGCACACTTTGTTGGCGCCACAGGACCAATCGCATGCCCATACATGAGGGTCAGCGCATATAGCTCTGACACGGCCCTGCAGCACCCAGCCCCGTATCGCAACACGGAGGGGTCGATCGCAACCGACCGATGAACCGCAGCTCATCATAGTTTGATCGCAACCAAACAGTTAACCGCAGCCCAAGAGTATGTCATCTGACCGCAGCCAGGAAAATGAACCGCAGCTCATGTAGAAACGTTTGATCGCAACCAAACGGTGGACCGCAGCCCAAGAGAGTAAATCTGATCGCAGCCAGCTTCTGAACCGCAGCTCAGGAATGACCAATCCGATCGCAACCGAATTGGGGTATCATGCACACATAACACATAACAAGCACATGCCACCCACATTAACACGTTGGGAAGGGGGAGAAAACGTATAACAAAACCTATGCGTGATCCTTCACATACTAAGAATAATCCTAAGGGGTTCATACTTCTTTCACCTAGGTCAACGGGATACCAATTCAACTAGCATGCAATATATAAGACTCATACAACCTACGAACGGTACCCGAAATATCGAACTAGACATAGGCAAGATAGACGGAGTCCGTTAGGACACCACGGGGGTCGGGGGAACATCAAACGGGGAAGCCAAAATCCCAAGGTGGGGTACAAACCAGCGGGTAGCCGGTGGGTGAGGGGTCACCCGCCGGCGGCACTGTTCTGGGCAGCGGGTGCCCGGCGGGCAGCTGCCCGCCCGCCGGCTGCCCGCTGCCGGCGAGACCTCTTTTGGCCGTGGGTAGGTGGCGGGTCCCCTACCCCCACCTACCCCCCACTGACTCTTTTTCACCAAAAACGCCCCGGGAACCTTTGTGGAACCCGAAACCATGCTTAGACACTTTCAAACGCAATTGATAACACACGTAGACAATTAACGGATCAAAATCAAGAAACACACGGCACATAACCTATCATGCTTTTCTAAACATAATCAACACCCAATCATGCGAATTCCCACCCAATATACCAAGAATGATACCATATGAATTCCACGATATAACCTAGGGTTCTAATTATTTTTAAATCAACAAGAACACAATTCATCTTCTAAAATCAAGATTCGGTAGGAATATCATATAAATATCAAGAACATCATATAATCATTAAGAACATCAAGAACACCATATAATCATCAAGAACGTCATATAATCATCAAGAACACCATAGTTATCAAGAACCTCTCATCATCAAGATCACCCATGGAATCATCCCACCAATCATCAATAATAATATCACAAATCATCAATACACAATAATATGGGAAAAATCCTAAGAGGGGAATCATAGCTATGAAAATAGGTTTTGTTGAGACATGGGTTACCTTTTAGCCTTAATTAATTCCTTGGCTATGAAGGGTCTTTCTTGAAGCTTTCTTCTTTCTTGATTTCTCCTAGGGGAATTCTTGGAACTTCTTGTGTGGTGAGGGATTATTGTGGTGGGAGTTCTAGGTGCCTCCTTATGTTCCCTATTTATATATCTAAGAGTCTTACTTAGGGCCTAATTACTATAGGTTTGCTAACTCTATTCCTTTTAGGACTAAGGATTGGGTTTAGGGATAAGGGCCCATGGACTATGGTGGGCATTTCCTAATTAATTATTGTGATTTAATTCTTTCTTTTGGGTAATTCGTTAAATGATTAATTGGTTTTAGGGATCGTAACACGGGGTGTTACACTCTCCCCCCCTTAACAGGAAGCTTCGTCCCCGAAGCTTGGTCCTTGTCGAGTGACTTCTTCTTAGTTACCTGGTGTGAAATGTTCGGGGTAGCGTTCCTTCATTGTGTCCTTGAGTTCCCATGTCGCTTCCTCGGTCCCATGGTTGGTCCAGAGGACTTTCACCATTTCTATGGTTCGACGTCGGGTGGTTCTTGTCTTGGTGTCCAGGATTCTCACGGGTTTTTCTTCGTATACTAGTGACTCGTCGAGGTCCACGACCTCGGGTTGAAGCACGTGGCTTGGGTCGTGCACGTATTTCTTTAGCTGGGATATGTGGAATACGTTGTGTACTCGTTCTAGTTCAACGGGTAGAGCGAGGCGATAGGCTAGGTTCCCAACTCTTTCTATGATTTCATAGGGGCCGATAAATCGTGGGCTATGAGTGGATTTCATCTTGTGCGTGTTGAGTGTTCTATTGTTGTTCGTGTCTTGATGTTGTCTTTGGATGTTGATTCCTGTGTCTTGATTGAGAGTGAAATAGAGTCTTTGCGGTTGACTTCTCCCTTGATGATTTTGAACTGATATATACTGTATCCAGTTTCGAAAATGATTTTGTAATAACTATCTATATATGTTATTGACGCGTATTGATGGGTTACCAGCATCATTCGTTGACCGGGCGTCGTCCCATTTATTTATGTGCTTTTCAGGTCTTGAGTAGTCGGCGAGCGCGTTAGAGATGGCTAGTTTAGTCTCCTAGACAGTTTTTAGTTGTGTTTTGGGCCTGTGTGCTCCTGATGTTAAACAATACGTTAGATTGTTGATGATGGTTTTTGCCTGTGCGTTCACAATGGTGTGAGCGTGGCATAACACTCCATTTTTCTGGCTTTATTTATATACAGACTTCCGCTGTGTTTTGCTTATGTTTGTGGTTAGATTATCTTGCATATTTAAGTTTAAAATGGCATGAAAATCGGGGGTGTTACAATGTCAGCCAGTTGATCTTTAGTAGAGACAAAGTTGACCACCAGGTCCCTAGATGCAACCTTGTCCTGGACAAAGTGGAAGTCAATTTCCACATGCTTCGTTCTGGCGTGAAAAACTGGATTGGCACAGAGATAAGTGGCACCGAGATTGTCACGCCACAGAGTAGACGGTTCGCCAGAATGGAGCCCAAGTTCGCGTAGCAACGAGACAACCCATGTGACCTCTGCAGAGACATCCGCTAGCGCGTTATATTCGGCTTCAGTTGATGAGCGAGTCACAGTGCCCTACTTCTGGGAGATCCAAGAGATGAGATTGGAGCCTAAGAAAACTGAATAACCACTTGTGTTTTTCCTGTCCAACGGGCATCCGGCCCAATCGAAGTCAGAGAACGCATGGATAGTCGAGGAAGCGGATACCAAGAGACGTAAACTGTAGTCTAAAGTGCCTTTGATATACCGCAAGACTCGCTTGAGAAGGCCACAATGTTCGTTAGTCGGGGGATGCATGAACTGACATAGACGGTTAATAGCATAGGACAAATCCGGCCGGGTGATAGTTAAATATTGTAGGGCGCCTGTAATACGTCGATACTGTGTCGGGTTTACAAACGGTAGGTCGGAGGGAGAAACAGCTTGCGTAACAGAAGTTGGAGTTGCTAACGGTTTGCAATTGACCATGCCGGCGCGGTTTAGAATGTCGCCCATATACCGGCGTTGTGACAACATTATCCCGGTATCAACCATGAGTGTTTCAATACCATGAAAGAACCCGGGGGTACCAAGGTCACGAATCTTGAAAGTAGACAACAGACGGCGTAGTAGAGCGTTAATCAGTGTGGGATCATTCCCCATCCTAATAATGTTGTCTACGTACACCATCAAGTACACTCGGGATGTGCCAGTAGAGTAGTGAAAGAGAGAGACATCCGTCTTGGACGGTAAAAAACCTACAGAAACAAGGAAGTCATGTAGTCTCTTGAACCAAGCCCGTGGGGCTTGCTTGAGACCGTATAATGAGCATTGAAGGTGACACTCATGATCTGGGTGTGTCGGGTCTTCATACCCCGGTGGCTACTTCATATAGACTGTTTCGGCTAAGTGCCCATTGAGGAAGGCGTTGTGAATGTCAAGTTGTCGCAGTGTCCAGCTATTTGACATAGCAAGAAAAAATAGAAGCAGGATCGTCGTTAGTTTGACAACAGGGCTAAAGATATCACAAAAGCCCTCGCATGTGACCTGATTGAACCCTTTTGTAACAAGGCGAGCCTTATGCCGTACAATTGAGCCATTTGCATTACATTTGGTGCGAAACACCCACTTGCAGCCAATGACATTCATGTAGGGCTCGGCTGGGACAAGGCGCCAAGTATTGTTGTGTAGTAGAGCATTGAACTCCTGATCCATGGCATCACACCACTGTGGATGGCGTACAGCCTGCAAATAGCAGGTTGGGTAATTAGTAGCACTTAAGGCATGGAACTGTTCACTTATGCCCCGGGTCATGTGCCGAAGCCTCATGACAAGGCCTCGTTCCTGTTGCTGAGTTCGGTTGACTCGAGCTTTGACAGGCTGGGAATCAGCGGGCCCTTCAATGGCAAATAGAGGAGGGTCCTGAGCCAAGGGTACTGGACTGGCCGGAGTAACGGGGCCAGTGTCTGGCCCTGTCGGTGCCGTTTGAGTGGCATATGGGAGTTGAGGTATTATTGGACTGGCTGCCCACGGCACTGGGGTTGGCACAGCCTGTGATTTCTCTTGAAAAGTTGTGTCTGAAAAAGGAAAAACAGACTCGTCAAAGCGTACATGGCAACAAATAGAGATTTTTCAGTTGTTAAGTCTATGCATCTATAGCCCCAAAAGGATGGTGGGTAACCTAAGAAGACACAGGGCGCCGAGCGGTACTCTATCTTGTGCCCATTTATAAGGCCTTAGATAGGGGTAACACCAGCACCCGAAGACACAGAGGAATGTGTATGGTGGTGCCACTTTATGAAGACGAGTGTATGGGCTTTCGAATTGTATAACTGACGATGGTAGATATTTTATTAGGCAAGTAACTGTTTCAAATGCGTATTCCCAGTATTGTAGTGGGACTGAGCTTTCGGTAAGTAGTGCCAGCCCGGTTTCAACAATATGTCTGTTTTTGCTTTCTACTCGGCCATTTTTCTCGTGCGTGTATGCACATGACTGGCGGTGAATAATGCCAAGCTTGTTAAATGTATGATGTATCTTGCGCTATTCGCCACCTAAATCCGATGGAATAGACATGATAGAACGCGAAAATTGGCGTTCTACCATGACACGAAATGACTCAAAAATTCTATATATGTTTGATTTTTCCGGTAAGAGATAAAACCAGCAGAAGCGGGAATCATCATCTACAAAAAGCAGAAAATATCTAAACCCACTAGTAGAAATTACAGGAGCGGGGCCCCAGATATCAATACACAATAAATCCAACACATTTTTGCTAAAAAATGAAACCCTATCTAATGGAAATCTCGAGGCTTTGCCGAGGTGACAAGATGTGCACGACCCCAACAAATTGGCTTTATTTGGAGCGACAAGACAGGACTTTAAAACGCGGTTCTAGACATGTGCATGCGGGTGACCCAACCTCCGGTGCCACACCACGGGAGTTGCGCAGGAAATGAGATACGCAAAATGGGACTGAGACACCGGTAGCCTGTATAAGCCACCCGAGGTGTGCCCTTTAAGCAGCACCGCCCTGGTGATTGAATAATTCACAATAAAACAATTTTTGTGAAATTAAAAAAAAAAAAAACATTATCGACATTGGTAAACCGCTGAACAGATAGTAATGGAACTGACAATTTAGGCACATATAACACATTGGATAAACGTAACGACTTTGACACAGAAGGTATAGACGCATGACCAACTCGTGAAATAATCAAACCTTCGACATTACCAACGCGTAACACGTCACCCCCGATGTATTCATCCGATTGCATCATCATAGACGCATCTGGCGTGGCATGAGCCGACGCCCCGGTGTCCGGAAACCAACTCGTGGTCGAGGTCGCCGCCACATCTTTGCCGGAAACCACCAGATTTGCCTGCGACGGTGGTTGCGGTGTATACCTCTTGTAATAATACACGCGGTGTGCCCACCTCGTCCACAGTTCTGTCCGCCATGACCATGGCCTGGATTGCCTCGACCCTGTCCATTCGATCTATTTCTGCGACCATCACATTGTTACGACGGCCTCTGCCAGCGAACATCGCGGAAGGAGCCGCACCAAAGCCGCCGTCACCACCAGGCGTAAAGTCATCGACATAGATGAACTCCTATGCCTGTAAGAAGTTTGAAATCTGAGGGATGAAGATGGGAATACCTGTGGCGGTGAGCGACGAAGCCATGGCTCTAAATTCTGGACGAAGACCCCGAAAAATGAACGGGTTTTTTTGTTAAGCGAGATCGACCGGCCGGCCAAAGCGAGGTCTTCTACCAGAAGCTGAGCGCAACCAAGATACTCAGCCGCGGTCCTATTGTCCTGCCGAAGAGAATGAAATTGGCCGAGGAGGCTCAAGCACCAGGCACGGGTGGAACTGCCGAGAGCAACCGTCACAGACTGCCATACCTCCCTTGATGTGCTCCTGCCGACCGCCAAATGCATAACTTCATCTAAAAGGGAAGATATCAGCAGGGATACTATAGATTGGTTCTGTTGTATCCATGCCTGGTATGCCGGGTTTGGCTATTGAACCGCGGTGGTTGCAGCTGAGGCCGAATCGCCGGAGGATGGAGCAGCTTCGTTGGTCACCAGAGGGTACGGTGTGTCACCATCGACGAAGCCGAGGAGCCCCTTCTCTCAGAGGAATGGTACAAGCTGAGTTCGCTAGAAGAGGAAATTGCGATACGTCAGCTTAATTGATAAAAAATGATGCGCCGAGGACAGGTTATTTGGGGTGGTGGCTGAAGGAGTTACGGTGGCGGCAGTTACGATTCTTTCCGATGAGTTGGTAGACATGACATGCAAGAGGGTGGTGGTGGGTGATTGGTGTTTGGGAGTTTACGGGAAAGGCAGTGATCGGCGGTGGGTTTGTTTGGGGAGAGGAGAGAGATTCTAACCTATGGGATGAGATTTCACTTGCCAAATATAGTAAGAGAAGAAAATTGAAGCCAGATTAAATCTGAGAACAGCAAAGGCATGAAGATGAAAAAGATTTACTGGAAGAAATCTTAGAAAGAAAAATACTAGTCCTAACTAGTATGAGATTAAATTAAAGAATACTTTTTGAAGTATTAAAATCCCAAAAAACGTGAACCACTTCAGAGAAAGATCAGAGAAGCCGTTTCTCATGAAACTAAAGCTCAAGAATCCCCAAGAAATGTGATCAACACCAGATGAGGTTTGGGAACCCATTTGCGTGGACTTGGAGCTCTACAAACGGCTAGAATATCTTTCTGACACATTGCCAGAAGGTTAGATAAGATCTTTGACAAAAGATACAAGAATTCAAATTGAGATTGTCTTTTTCCAATTGACAAATTCTCAAAACCAGCTATAAAAGGATGAAGATTTGAAGATTGGAAGCAGAGTTTCAAGAGTTCTGAATAGAAAAACACTCAGAGATATAGAGCTTTCAAAAGAAATCATTCAAGAGTGTTAAATCTTCATCACAAGAGACTTGCAGCACATTGAAGATCATCTACAGAGTCTCAAAGTTGGATGCAAGAGAAACTTGTTTTTCTACAGACAAGTGAAGTCCCTACGGGAGTGCAGGAAGGAGACTGTCACAAAGAAGTGTGAAGTCTTGGAGAAGGGAAAGTAGCACGGAGTTATGAAATCCAAGTAGCAGTTCTACCGGAGCGTAGAAGTCGGGGGGAAAGTAACACGGAGTTGTGAAATCTTGGAAAGTAGCACGGAGTTGTGAAATTCGAACTGTAGTTTTACCGGAGCGTAGAAAGGGGAGGAAAGTAACGCGGAGACGTGAAATCCTGTAGCAGTGTTGTAGGCACTGGGAAAGGGCGTGATTAGTGCGGGCTTAGTGATCAAATCATTAGATCACAAAATTCATTGTATCTTGGAACCAAGAAGTGGTGGATATAGTGAGTTGCTCTTGGAGATAAGAGCAAGTGGAGTAGGAGGATTACATCACCTCCAAACCACTATAATTGTCTTGTGTTCTTTACTGCTTTATTTAATTACTGCTTCTTGCTTGCTTCTCATGTAGATATACTTGACACAATCACAAAACACTCATTTTATTATTCCGCTGTGCACAAGACTCTAATAATCAAGTTAAGAGTTTTGGTTTCTCTGTTGCCGTAGAAATTGTTGTAATTGGCAAAACGGTTTAAAAGCCTATTCACCCCCCCCCCCCCCCCCGCCCTCTAGACTTTTACCATACCTCTTTTGGGACCAACTGGTTGTGTGTCATGTGCAGTTGGGTTACTAATGGTAGCATAGAGGACAGCGTCATACAATGAGATTTTGGTGTAGAAAGTTATGGATTTGCTTTGTTGTGTATATGATTAGATCTAGTTAATATAATTAATTAATAAATTTGAAGGTAAGGAATCTTTGCATTGTAAAAAATAAAAACAATATAACTAATAAAATTATCTCTTTTTTAATTTTTTGATAATGAATAAATTTTTTTTTGAATTAAAGCATTGTAGACATCTAATTCTAAATTAAATAAATGCATATGTATTATTTTTTGTTATAGCTACTAATTTATTTAATTTAATAAGAGTAATAAAGTGGGGTACTTACTTTTTATCCACAACAACAAAGTCATTGATTTTTTTTATTATTTATATTCGTTGTTGAGACAAATTGTTTTGGGAGTTTATCAATGACAATTGTTACAATTGTTGTCAATAGAGGATGAAGATAAGTAGTTCAGAAATATATGGTTACAATAGATATTGTTATAATGATATAGTAAAAATATAATTAACTTACAAATTTCTTTAGAAGTTTTCATGCATTGATAAAATTTTGAGAATGATGTATAAAACTTGTTTAATTGGAGTCAGTGAGGTGTCAACATTGTCAATTGTTTAATTTGGACAATGGTCCTACCGTTTATAGTCCAGAGATAGTTGTATTTTTTATCAACAACTTTGTAGTTAGGTTACGCAGGTTGATAATGATATAAAAACAATTTTCTCCGATAAAAAAATAATAGTACAATATTTGTAAAGTAATGTACAATTGTACCATTATAGAAATACAAACAAAAAAATATTAATACCATAATGACCTAAATCATTCATAATAATACCAAAGCATAATTGTAATGATGCGAAGGGAAGAAGAAGCTTCCAGCGAAGAGAACAGAGAAAGAGTGAAAAGGGAATGAAAGTTGTTATTCTTCTTGAAACTATCTTCCAAGCTTATACACAAAGGACAAAAGGATGGAAAGAAGCAGGAATGGGAGTTACAACTGACAAGAGAGTGACATTACAAAATAGTCCCAAAGAAATATCACTGTACAGCTCCTGAGCTTGAATCTTCTTTATTGTTCAATACCCCCCCCCCCCCCCCCGTTAAGCTGGAGCATGCAAGTCTTGTATGCCTAGCTTAGATGTAAAGCTTTGAAACAGAGCAACAGGTAGAGGTTTCGTGAACCCATCTGCTACTTGGTTGGAGGATGATACTTATAACAGGTTAATGAGTCATTGGCTTAGTTTCTCCCAGACAATGTGGCAATCCATGTCAATATGTTTCGTGTGTTCATGGAGTACATGGTTCTCAGCTATAGCTACTACTGATTTACTGTCACAGAATAATGTTGCTGGTTTGTCCATATTGATTTGCAGGTCTTGAAGAAGGAATGTTAACCATTGCACCTCATAAACTGTTGCAGCCAAGGCACGATATTCAGCTTCAGTTGAAGATTTTGATACAGTAGCTTGCTTTTTTTTACCTCCACGAGATCAGTGCTGGCCCTAGGAACACATAGTAGCCTGTGATAGATTTTCGAGTCTCATTGCATGTTGCCTAGTCGGAATCTGAGAATACCTTGAGTTGTAAATTTGTGTTGGCATGGTAGAAGAGCCCTTGGCCAGGTGATTTTTTGATGTAGCGTAGGACACAGTGTGCTACTGTGAGATGTTGGTCCGTGGGATTATCCACAAATTGACTTAGTTGTTGGATGGAATAGGAAATGTCCGGCCTTGTGGGTGTAAGATATAGTAATTTCCCCACCAATCTTCTGTAGCAACTGGCATCAGCAAGGGGAGTGCCATCATGAGTCAGTTTCAAGTTATGAACCATTGGTGTGTTGGTTGGCTTGCATCCCAAGAAGCCAGCTTCCTCAAGAATTTCTAACGCATATTTGCGTTGGCAAAAATTGGGGCCATCTGCAGTTGAACTTGCCTCGATTCCCAAAAAATAGCCAAGAGCCCCCAGGTCCTTGATTTTGAAAGTGTTGTCCAAGAATGTTTTTAATTCTTGAATCAAGTCTAACCTGGAACTTGCAACCAATATATCGTCGTCGTATACAAGGACCGTCATGAAGTTAGCAGCATTTCCTTTGGTGAAGAGAGAGGGGTCTTATTTGGACTGTTTGAAACCAATATGAGAAAGGGCAGAACAAAGTTTTGCGTTCCATTGTCTGCTTGCTTGTTTAAGACCGTACAATGATCGTAGCAATCTGCATACTTAATTCGAGGTTCTACTTTGAAAGCCCGGGGAAACACCATATAAACCTCTTCATTAAGATTCCCTTGCAAAAATGCATTGTTGATATCCATCTGGTGTATGTGCCAAGCTCTTGAGACAGCCACTCCTAGAAATGTACGGATGGTTGTCATTCAAGCTACTGGTGAAAAGGTATCAAAGTAATCTACCCCGAGTTGCTGTGTGTAACCTTTTGCAACGAGCCTCACCTTATGCCTTTCTATACTTCCATCTGCTTTTAACTTGGTCTTGTAGACCCATTTGCAACCTATTGGAACCTTTCCAGGGGGAAGGTTGGTTAGCTCCCAGGTGTTGTTCTTTTGTAAGGCATCTATCTCCGCAGCCATGGCCTCTTTCCAGCAGTCATGCATTACAGCTTAGGCATATGTCATTGGCTCACTGATGGCTGTAATTGACATGGAGAATATTTTGTGTGGGAGCTGAAGATTTTCGTATGATATTACCTTTGAGAGGGAGTGAGGAGTGGTTCTGTGCTGCATGACCAAGTCACAATAGTAATCTTGTAGCCGGCTAGATATTTGGCGTTGCCTATTGGATCTTCGAAGCTACATGGTAGGCTGACTACTCACATTGTCTGCATCAGTGTTTGTCTGCATTAAATTCAAAGGGTGAGACATGTTACCCACTGGATGGTAGGCTACATTGTCTTCTGAATGATCACCTATCAAGGTATTAAGATTATCCACTGGATCATAGGCTATATTGTGATCTGAATGATCTCCTATCAAGGTGTTAAGATTATCCACTGGATCATAGGCTATATTGTGATCTTCAAGATTGCCACTCCGATCGATGTGCTGTAAAGAGTCAGAACATTGAGCTATATTATTATCCATTGGTCTGCTAATATCCATGTGGTCCTTGGCTGTCCAGGATTGACCATTAGTAATCACTTGAAAATTGAATTCCTCATGGTTAAATGTGGGAACCAGAGGTAAGGAAGGACCAAGAGAGGAGCTGGCATCCTGGGCTGATTGAGACTTCATCTCTTCATAGGGAAACTGTGCTTCATGAAAAGATACATCACGTGAGATTAGAATTGAACCATCATGCATATCATATAATAGGTAGCCCTTGATGTTAGCAGGAACCCAAATAAAAATGCACTTTCTGCTTCTGGCAGCCATCTTATGGCGTAAATGTGGCAACGTTGAGGCATAGCACAGGCAACCAAACACCCTGAGACTTGTAAGGTTTGGTTCCTTATTGTATAGCCTTCTATAGGGACTTAACCACTAAGTAACTGGAGATGGGAGGCGGTTGATAAGAAAAACTGCATGCAAAACACATTGTCCCCAAAACTCTAGGGGAAGATTAGCTTCAAATCGTAGAGCTCTAGCAACATTCAAAATGTGTTGGTGTTTTCGTTCAACAACGTCATTTTGTTGTGGCGTGTTGACACAGGTTTTCCAATGGATAATCCCATTCTCATCAAAGAATTCCTTCATATTAAACTCTAAGTCGTTGTCACTGCGGATAGTCTTGATATTCAAGCCAAACTGTGTGGGAACCAGTTTGTGGAACATCTTAATTAATCCTTGTGTTTCAGACTTATTTTTCATCAAGTGAATCCAGGTGTATCTTGAATGGTCATCAACTATTGTTAAGAAATATCTTTCCCCTCCCAAAGCTTTAACCACAAAGGGTCCCCAAATATCAACATGAATTAGCTCAAAACAAAATTTTGCCATTGTACTACTCAAAGGAAAATGAGATCTCTTATGTTTTGCAAATTCACAAGCATCAGAGGCTAATTTCTTTGCATGAGAAGTAGAAATATCTGTAACAAGATGCATCTTATTCACGGGGAAATGGCCTAACCGTTGGTGCCAAATCTCAACACTACATGGCATAGCAAAATGTCTAGCATTATTCAAGTGAGCTGTAGGTGATTTAGTAAGTAGATACAAGTCGTTTTCTTCCTTAGAAAAACCAATTGTCTTCCCATTGTCCCCCCGAAGAAGACATTGATCATAAGTAAAAATTAGTATCGCAGAAGAAGTTTGAAGCAGCCTACTGACAGAAACAATGTTAAATTGAAAGGATGGTATATGCAGAACATTTTTCAAGCATAAATTTTCACTTAGTCTTATATCTCCCACATGTGTAACCATGGCTTGTTTCCCATCTGGCAGGTTAACCATTGTTCCATTTACAGAGTGATGATTTTCAAATAATTCTATAGAGCAGGCTATATGATCCGTGGCCCCCGAGTCCAGGATCCAATTAGATGAATGAAGAGAGACAGAATTAATGACATTTTTTACAGTAAACTTGTCTTCTCCTGTGGCAGATTCTTCATTGAATTTCGGCTTCAATGTGACAGCTGCTGAAGTTGCTTGTTGGTTCTGTCCCATCTGATTTTGTAGAAGCAATATGAGCTTCTGAAGTTGCTCAGCCGTGCCACTTGTTTCATTAGATACAGAGGCAGAAGCTGCTATCATTTCTTCTGTGTTTGTTGAGTTAGTTTGAACAGCATTTGCATTTCATTACTGCTAAGGAATAGAGGATTCTCAATGTCCTCTGAGCTACTCCTCTGCGGAGCTAGGTTTCTCTGAAGATTGTGAGCGGGAGAACGATCGGCCGGAGTTGTGATCGGAGTTGGCGGATGAGCTCCCTGAGTTGATTCTCCGGCACCGAAGACGGATGCTGCATAGCTTCCCTTTCGGTGCTCTGATACCATGATGTGAAGGGAAGAAGAAGCTTCCAGCGAAGAGAACAGAGAGAGAGAGTGAAAAGGGAATGAAAGTTGTTATTCTTCATGAAACTATCTTGCAAGCTTATACACAAAGGATAAAAGGATGGAAAGAAGCGGGAATGGGAGTTACAACTGACAAGAGAGTGACATTACAAAATAGTCCCTAAGCAATATCATTGTACAAGAGCTTGAATGTTCTTTATTGTTCAATATGTAATATTGAATCTTATTCTAAATAATCAAAATAAGATTAATTAAATGAAAAACAAAAAACTTAAACTAAATTTGTTTTTAAAAAAATAAGAAAATGATTTTCAAGATTCCTTATTTGTAATTTTTTATACTCAACTTTGAATGATATGTAGTAATTATTTTACCAAAGTTCATGTTAAATTTTTATATTGTATTTTTTTTAATACACTCTAATATATCTGTATTCCGTAGTATATGGCCAACAGTTATACCAACTCTAATTGGGATGAGATTCGAAAATTATATAATAAAGAATAAAGTAGTAAAATCACAAAAACAAAAAACTAAAAAAAACTAAAAAAAAAAAAAAACTAAAATCAAAATAATCTTAACCATTCATTTCATCAAACAATTACAAAAACATTTTTTTAGTTCCCAAGTCTAACTTTATTGGTCTTTTTAAGTTTGTAGGTGTAGATTAGTAGATTATTATTAACTATCATATAGATGGGCAGCCTGGTCCTTTTCCTTTTGAAGCTGTCTGCCAGGGAGGAACAAATTGTTGCTATATCTCCATCCCCTATTTCATTAATTAGTCATCTGCTAATAACTAGGCCGGGCTAAGCTAACACAAGCCAGAATTAATTATCTTACAGATCAGAAATAGATACAATTATTTTATAAACAATAAATAAGTCATTATAACAAATTATAAGAGTCAAATACTTTGTGGTTTGATGACATCACTATTACTTTTCATAATGAAGGTCTCGGGTTAGAGTCTTACCCTAATTAGATTTGGCATTATATTATATTCAACCCTGGTAGGGGTCGGGGGCATTGATTCTCTAGGCAAGAAAAATTGAGAAATTATAGTATATAGATATTACCGTGTAAAGAATCAGTCTCATAAAAAGAACAATAACCTTAATCACAAGGAGGTAAATCAACTTAAGTTGTCTATAGTAATGAGTAAACAACTAAACACCCTGGTCTGCTTAGTTGGTGTTGTCAATATGCCTGAGAGGCTAAAGATCACCACTCACTCATAAAACATCCATATATTAGTTGAAGCAAAAAAAGAACAAAATCCATCATATCATCTCTCCGAAGCAATTCCACAAATTAATTATCCGAAATTCCAGCAGGCAAAAGCACATGGCTTGCTAAGTTGATGTAAATTTCCATACCTTCTAATCAAGACCCCCGTACCTTTTCTTTATTACTGCTCATCACTCTAAACCACAAGCCAACACATACATGCCATTACTAATCAACATTCATCTGCAGCACACCATATATTCATCGGAACGTACACACAGACATGGCAGCAAAGAAAGGATCCATGTATGTCTACAAGTTCGAGAATCCCAAGGCGCCAGAGCCAAAGAAAGCCATCTTCGGAGGTTGGCCCGGGCTGAGGAGATCCAAAACCTGCCGCGAAACCCAAGGCGGTCGACCGGATTATTGGAAGAAGGCGGCGGAGGGAGACGGCGGGGTGAATCCGACGGTGGAAGCAGCGGCGGCGAGGAAGTCGGTTTCGTCGAGAAAATCAGTGTGCAATATAGAAGTGAACGTGGGGTCAGCGGCAAGCTTGCTTCAGGTGAAAGTTATGGCGAGTGACATGCCAGGGTTTATGCAACTGCATGCCTTTAGATGTGCGAGGACTACTTATGATAGCTTGGAGAAGTTTAGTTCTAAGCACTTGGCTTACAACATTAAGAAGGTATTTTCTTTTATTTTTATTTCCTCAAATTTCATTTCATCACCATATTTAACGTTGTTAAAACATTTTTTTTTTTTTTAGATTTAACATCAATTTGTTTTTTTGCGAAAAAGCAATCCACATTGTGTTCATCACTACTAAAAATAAATGATTACTGATACATCGAAATATGTAAAAAATTGGAGGAATCCCAAGCCAAGATGGCCAGAGATCCAAACTTGTAATCACAAGGTCACGAGTTCGAATCCTTACTCCCTTGATTTGAGCCCACTAGTTATAAGTAACCTAACATAGGTTAGTTTACTTTCTTGTGATCCTTTACTAATTAGGATTATAGGATTTACTCGCACTCAAAAGAGTTGTATAGTAGGTTTCCTCGTTATGCAAAAAATAAGGTCAAAATTTTAATTTCTTTTGGTTGCTAAAGTTGGTATTTGGTAAACGCGTGTTTTTCCGTAGTGCATGAAAGTGAGTATTGAAATTTTAACATGTACTAAAGTAAAATAAAGTAGGTCAAGTACTTTGTTGTTTAGTGATATCAACTTTTTCTCTTATATGGGAGGTTGGGAGTGGTATTGATTTTTTGTACTTCAATAAATTAAGAAAATAGTTATGAACAGATATTTTAATGTAACAGAGCTAATAGTACTACTTACAAATATATGAAAAACAAAACAGAAAGGAAATTTGACATGCACGCACATATATGTAATCTATTAAAGTCAAATTGATACTAATATTTTTGGAAAATATAATCACTATTTTTTTTAGGTAGAATGAAAAGAAGTAATAAAAAGTATACATATACTCCGTATATACTTAATTAATTAAGGTCTAGATGTGCTTTGTTTGTATAGTGAGGGCATTTAATGCAATAAAGGAAAATGATACCTAGGACTGCAAGGTAGAATTTTTTTCTTGAAAGGGCAAGGTAGAGTTATTTTTTAACAAAACAAAAAATATTAATATTACACATTATTTTTAGAGTTGTTATACCATGGGCCAATGTCTATTTTGCAATAATGTAGACTCTGGTCCTAAACCACGTATAAACTGTGTATTTTTAATATTGAAATTGTAACTTCTAAAATATAAATTGTGTTTCTGAATCATAACACATAACAGAGCTGTAGAAGGGAATTTGTGAAAACAATACAAGGTCATAAAGTTCTAATCTGTTAATATTGTGTGACTACATTATTTGAAATGAACTTGTAAACACAAAACAAGGTAATCAATTACATATATGTTAATATTGTGTGTTCGTATTATACAATTTGTGAATTTTTAAAAAGTAAATTGTGAACATTTGGACTTGGATCCACATTGCAAGGTGGACCCGAGTCCCCATAATATTTTGCCTTGCCTTATTCTTAATTAATTGTCAAATTAGAAGTTTGTTAATTAGATTATATTGTTGATGAATTACAATGCATGATATACATTGAGTAAAAAATATTTGTAGTGTAGCTCGTGTTATTATGTGCAATCTTTTTGTCTTTTTTCTTTTCTTTTCTTTTCCTTTTTGGTTCGTAGAAAGGTCATAAACATAATACTCTGAATTTAATAAATTTAGGAACACATTTTAGGATTTATTATAACAATATATTTTACAGGACATTACCACATCATATTTTAAATACACTTTTTATTTGAAATTGTTGTACTTCTCTTGTTATTTTTGGAAAAGTCAGGAATACAATTATGGGTCACATTTATATAAGACCGTCTCACTGATCCTTATTCGTGAGACGGGTCGGGTCGGTTCAATATGCAAAGGTAATACTTATACAAGCAAATGTAATACTAATTAGGAATAAAGTATTTGTTACTTATAAGTGAAAACCTAATACTCTTGAGGACAAATGTAATACTTTTACATTTTGACGTAAAAGTATTACTTTTTTTCATCAAAATTATTATATTTTTCCTTATAAGTAATTCATTACTTATAAGGGAAAATATAATACTTTTGATGAAAAAAAATAATACTTTTACATCAAAATGTAAAAAGTATTATATTTTCCTTCAAAATATTACATTTTCTCATTTAAGTAATAAATATTTTATTCATGATTTAGTATTATATTTACTAGTATAAGTATTACATTTCATCTTGACTTGACCAGTCTCATAGACAAAGATCCGTGAAGCAGTTTCACACAAGTTTTTGCATACAATTATATATATATGGTGAAACAAAATTTTCTTTTAAGAACTATGACAGTATGCTAATGATATATTATATTGTAAAAAAATCATATTTTAATACTATTTTTTTTTCATCACCATGCCAAGTGTATCATATATAAATAATCGATAATTTTTTTAATTTCAAAAAAAATAATTGAATATAAATATATATTTATGTTTTCTCACTATTTTATTTGGCGTAATTTAAATCCTGAAATTTTCACCACTATGCCAAATGTAACATATATAATAATAGATAATTTCTCTTATTCCAAAAATAATTGAATACAAATATTTATTTTTTGTTTTCTGTCTATTTTATTTGGCTTAATTTAAATCCTGAAATTTTCATCATCCATGTTGGCATGTTGCACATGTATGTGATGACAAATTAGCGTACGCAAACCACTATTCAGATCTGACAGTAACTACTACCTAATCATGTGCTAAATTTCATTATCTCTAATCATGTTTTGCCAACTCATGTGGAGAACAAGTGAGCATCGGTACTATTACTAATAGACAAAATATTCAATGTATAGATTAGCTAAACATGCAATGAATCACAACATCAAGAATAAATTTAAACTAGTTTTGAAAGAAGTGGTCTGGTGGAGTATGATTTTGGTACCTAATTGGTCACAAATTTGATTTTTGTTAACTTGTTTTTAATTTAATCAAGTTTGTAGCTAGTACAAGGTTTTTCTTGTGTAGTTTATCTCTTATGTGTGATTTGCAAGCTATTGTATATGAGTAGGTTTAACCATTGCGCATCTTGTGATAGTGGTTACAAGTTTCTCTCGTCATAAAAAAAGAATCACTTTTTAAAATTTATAATAAATATTGAATTTTATATAAATAGATATTTAATTTGCAAAAGAAAAAAAAATTGATCAAGTTTGACTCTTATTTTTTAATTAATAATAAATATAAGGTGGGTATTGTGGTGCTATGTTGTCTAGTGGTATATTATACTTATGATGTATTAAGTGTTTTCTTTTATTATTATTATTATGAAAAATCCCTTATTTTTTGTTCTTAATTATTTTGTAGTTAAGGTTAAAATTTTATACAAATTTGCTCCTTTAATTGTTAAAATAGTAGTTTAAAATTCAGTTTATTTTTGAATGTTACTAGCTCTATTACAATGTAGTATCTGTTCATATACTTTCTCAACTTACTAAAACACAAAGAACTAATAACGCCTCCACTAAGGCTCAAACTCATAACCTTCCAAATGAAAATCCAACCCGGGTACCATTAGACTACATAGTCTTGGTTTTTAAATTTAGTTTATCAATATTTGAAACATCAAAATCCATTTGTATTTATAATTTAATGAGAAAAATAATAGATTGAAAGTTACAAATATATAAATTTAAATACAAAAGGAGTTTGACATTTCAATCAATCAAGAAATTAAACTTACAAGTTGTTTAACAATTCAAAGACTTAATTTATAAAAATTAAAATAGATGAATTACTCCCTCCGTCAAATATTATGTGTTTTGTTCAGTTAACGAGGTCTGATTGAAGTTATTTTTAATTTAATTTTTTATAATATTAAATTTAATATTAATATACAAAATTTATATATTTAGAAACTACACTAAAAGTACTATTAAACACCAAAAAAAAAAATAAATTTAAAAATAAGTAAAAAAGTACTAAAAAAAACAAAGAAAAAGAATTGGTTTGACCAATGAATAGTAAGTATGACATATAAAATGAAAGATGGAGTAGATTTATAACTCGAGAGCAATTAAAGAACCAAAAATGTTACTACTACTAACAATTAATATATATATATATATATATATATATATATATATATATATATATATTCAAAGGCAATAACTATTTCAACAATTCAACTCTTAAATATAGTGTGAATTGAAATACTTATCAATGAAAAAAATAATTATTTTTTAAAATTATATACAGGAATTTGATAGAGTGTATGGACCGGCCTGGCATTGCATTGTGGGCTCAAGTTTCGGGTCATTTGTAACCCACTCAACAGGTTGTTTCCTCTATTTCTCAATGGAGAAGCTTTATATTTTAGTGTTCAAGACTAAAATTCAAAAAGCTTTACACAATTAAATATATCTTTATTCATGATATCCTTCAAATCGTTAGACTCTTCTTCTCTTTTTTTCTTTTTAAAATTTGTATTTTTATTAAAAGCTATATATTGTTTTTAAAAACTATTTATAGAAATGTAAATAATGAAAAGTGAGTGAATATTTTATCTTTTTTCACAGTGCTCGACTAGATGTCCATGTAAATCTTGAATTCATTGTATTGTTAACAACATTCTTGAAAGCTAGCGGTATATTCATTGTATTACTAACAACATTCTTGAAAGCTAGCGGTATCTCTCATTTTGTATTTTCTAATGGTTTCCCGCGCAGTTGTGCGGTTGGATGCACCTTAAGCATTAAAATGTTGCACCTTAAGTACACAAATCATCACGCACCTTAAGCACACAAACAAAGCACCTTAAGAATACAAATCACTCAGCTTAAGTTAATAAATCACGAACATTAAGCACAGAACAAAGCACATTAGACACAAAACGTAACCCACGTATCTAAGATTTTAAAATGGCTCACATTAAGTACAAACTCACGCACATTAAGCACAAAACTCACGCACCTTAAACACAAAATTCACGCACTTTTAAGTTTTAACAACTACTTACATTAAGCACACAAAACCCACACACCTTAAGCACAAACTCACGCACATTAAGCACAAAAGTCACGCACCTTAATTTTGACGACTTAGATGCAAAAATTATTACCAAATTGCCACCGTTTTTTTTTTTTTTTTTTGGTAATCCTAGAGCTTGATTTAAGCAAGATCAATGACTCAAATTTAACACCACAATCCCACCTGTGGCTGCCAACCGCATCAGAACCTAATTATATATATATATATATATATATATATATATATGTATATATATATATATATAACAAGGTTTAGGTGAGGATGTGTGGTCTAATCCACACCATCCAATTAGAAGTTTGCATGGATTTGATTCTTAAAATCATGGGATTTGAACTTTTCAAAAACTGCCACAAAAGATGCTAAAAAGACTATTAAAAATATAATATATCATTCAAAAAATAACCACCATCAGATCTCACAAAATCATTGATCTTAAAAGAACACTTGGAGAAATCTAGATGACTCATAAGAAGGTAAGGTTGCAAGGTATACATGTGCAAGGATTAAGGGATTAACTCAAGCATGACTTATTACGAAAGGCTTAAACTTAAAAATAAAAGAATCATTCATCAAGGGGAAAAACATGACATGGATACAAGGCAACTCAAACAGTCAACGAATCAAACAGTCAACGAAGGAAACAAGACAACACACCAAGGCAACAAGAAACAAGATGCGTTCTAAAGACAAGGGTAGGCTAGGAAAGGGTTACCTGCTAACTCCTCCTCAACTAAGCTCTCGGTTTCCGCCTGCGATCGCCCCATCACGAAGACTCTTCCCGACGGTCTGGCCCCGACTTAAAGATCATAAAGATTTCACCTTTAGAAAAATATACCACTTAAAACACAAAAGGAGCATAGATCTTACCCTCCTAGATGCTCAAGAGTAGGAAAGGTGAAATCTTGAAGACAAACTTTAGAGATCTTGATAACCCTAGACTTAGCTTGGAGAGAAAGCTAGCTAGATTTTTAGAGAGAAAGAAGAGCTTATGATTTGGAAAGTGTTTGGGAAGAAATGAAATGTGTCTCCTAGGTTAGCTTGGAATACCATTACAAGGAAAATGTCTTCTTTACCTTTACTAAGATGAAAAGTGTAAGGGAACAAGGGAACTATTCACAAAGCTTTAGGTACAACACTTGACTTTGGGTTGACTAGTCAATTACTAGTCCCCGACTATTGAATTTTCAGGAATTTAAGGAATTAAATTACCAATTGGATTAGGATTAATTACTTAATTAATCTCTTAATTGAATTTGGATTACGAGGTGTCACAGGGGAGGTGGAGTCGGGCTTAGTGGTCGCGGTGCATGGCGGCGGGCAGGGACCGTCGTTGGTGAACGAAAGAGAAGAGGAGGCGGTGGTTACAATCGTATCTAAACGCAGAAGGGAAGTGGCGGGTAATGGTGGTCGTCGGTCGGGAAGTAGGGGAAGTGACATTGCTATGACCGACGTCTCAAAAAACATGCACATGACGGGCTCTGGTTCCCAAACCCGCCCGTCTCAATGAATACTTTGAGTTGGAACTGTCGTGGCTTGGGAAATCCACGAACAGTTCACGAAGTTGTGGACCTTGTGTCCCGTAAGAAGCTTGATTTTGTGTTGTTATTGGAGACTAAGGTGGGGCGTTCGCATCTAAGCGGCTCCGTGTGAAGATTGAGTTTGAAGGTTTGTTTTATGTTGATCCTGTTGGCCTGAGTGGCGGACTGGCCTTGCTGTGGAGAAAGAATAATACAGCACGGCTACTTAGTTATTCGAGGAATCATGTTGACGTGGAGGTTAGTATTCCTGGATTCTCTAATTGGCGTATGATAGGTTATTATGGTTACCTGGAACGTAACAAACGATATGAGTCCTGGGAGTTTCTCAAATCTCTTGCTCCTAGGTCCAAACTCCCATGGGTGGTGCTTGGTGATTTTAATGACCTCCTTTTTCATCATGAGAAGAGGGGCGGAAACCCACAACTAGATAGCCTCCTTCGCGGCTTTGGGGAAGCTATTGACTGTTGTGGTCTCTCGTAGATGGCCATGCAAGGCTATCAGTTTACCTGGGAAAAGGGAAGTGGTACGGTGGACTGGATCGAAGAGAGGTTGGACAAGGTGTTTGTTTCAGATGCCTGGCATGATTGTGTGGTGGGGGGCAAGGTGACCAACTTATTGACTCGTTGTTCTGATCACTCTGCGCTCTTCTTAGGGATCTCAGGTTCGTAGAGGGGTGGAGGGGATGGAAGGAGGAGGTTCCGTTTTAAGATGGCCTGGTTGCATGATGATGGTTGTAGGACAGTGGTGGAGGATTCTTGGGGCGAGGGGCGAGGTATGGGGCTTCAGGACTGCATCGAGCTGTGTGGCACCCGTCTCTCACGTTTGGGGAGGGGGGGGGGGGGACCGATTCCACAGGTTTGGGGAGCAGATTCAGATTCTCCGTAAAGAGCAGTTTCGTTTGCGTGGACTTAGGGACCCAGCCTCATTGGCTGAGTTCCAGTGACTTGAGGATCTTTTGAGTCGCACTGAAGCCCAGGAAGACGCTTATTGGAGGTAAAGGGCCAAACGACACTGGTTGCGGGGTGCTGATGCAAACACCAAATTTTACCACAGGTATGCATCTCATCGTAAAAAGAAAAACACTTTGTCAAAACTTTTGAATGATTGTGGGGGATTGGGTAGAAGGGGAAGCTATGAAGGGGGTTATTCTGGATTACTTTGATGGTATTTTCTATTCTAGTGGCCCTGCTGAGGGGGTTGAGTTCTTTGGTAATATTGCCCCTCGTATAACCAAGCAAATAATGAGTCTCTTATGCGCCCCTTTGAGTTAGAGGAGGTTAAGTCAGCTATGTTTTCCATGTTCCCCGATAAATCTCCTGAACCAGATGATATGAACCCAGGTTTTTACCAGCACTTCTGGGATGTTGTTTGTGGGGATGTTTCCTCTTTTGTCATTGGTTGTCTTGATTCTCACTCTTTTCCACCAGGAGTGAATGACACAGATGTTGTTTTGATCCCTAAGAAGAAGACCCCTGAGTATGTGACTGATCTTAGGCCTATAGCTCTATGTAATGTGGTTTATAAAATTATGCCCAAGATGATTGCTAATGGAATGAAGCCCCTTTTGAAAACCATTATTTCTGACTCTCAGAGCGCCTTTATCCCATACAGACTTATTACATATAATATCCTAATTGCTGTAGAGGTGGGTCATTTTTTGAATAAGAAGCAGTGTGGGGCGTTTGGGTGGGGAGCCCTTAAATTGGATATGGCTAAGGCCTATGATCGTATGGAGTGGTCTTTTCTACATAAATTGCTAGTGGTCCTGGGTTTTGATGCTAGGTGGGTGGAGCTTGTTATGCATTGTGTGACTACGGTCTCTTACAGTTTCTTGGTAAACGGATCATGCAGCAGATCAGTGATTTCGACTCGAGAACCGAGACAGGGTGACCCATTATCCCCTTACCTGTTTATTATCTGTGCAGAGGGACCCTCCCTCTTACTGCAGCAAGCACAGAATTCTGGATCTATTCATAGTTGTAGAGTGGCGAGAGGTGACCCCTATCTCTCATTTATTTTTTACCGATGACAGTCTGTTGTTTTTTAAAGCTAATAACCAGGAAGCCACAGAAGTCAAGCGTTGTTTGTCAGTGCATGAGAGTCTGTCTGGCCAGGGGGTCAATTACCACAAGTCTAGTATATGCTTCAGTAAGAATACTAGAGAGGATATCAGGGAGGAGGTGGCGCATGTGTTGGGGGTGGCGCAGGCTTCTGATTTTGGCAAGTATTTGGGTCTCCCTTCCTTCCTGGTAAGGAATAAGAGGGCCGCTTTTGCTTACATTGAAGACAAGATAAGACAAAGAATTGGTTCCTGGAACAAGAGGTTACTATCACAGGCTGGTAAGGAAATCTTAATGAAAAGTGTAGCAGAATCTATGCCTACCTTTTCTATGAGTGTTTTCTTGCTTCCTTTCTCTGTTTGCACCTCTATTGAGCGTACTATGAACCGTTTTTGGTGGGGTACTGGTAATGATTGTGGTATACATTGGAAGGCTTGGGATAGGTTATGTGTGCTAAAAAGATTTGGGGGTTTGGGTTTCAAGGATTTACGAGCTTTTAACCTTGCAATGCTGGGAAAACAGGCTTGGCGTTTTCTTACTAAACCAGATTCGGTGGTGGCACGTGTTTATAAAGCCAGGTACTACCCCAAGGAGTCATTTTCTGAGGCATGTTTAGGGAATAATGCCAGCTTTTGTTGACGTAGTATTATGGCTGCTCAGGGCTTAATTTGTGATGGAATCAGGCGCAGGATTGGGGACGGGAGTTTCACGCTCATTTGGGGCCACCCCTGGCTTCAGGACGATCAGGATTCGTTGATTCAGACGGAGATGCTCCCGCAATTGGCTGGCTCTCGTGTGGCAGGCTTAATTGACCAGGATAGTGGTACATGGGATATATTTATTTTATTTGACATTTTTATTCATGTGGATGTTTCAAGGATTTTAAAATTCCTCATTTCACCAGATTATGAGGATTGTTGGTAT